CCCGGCAACTGGACCAAAAAAACCTATCTTCAAAGTCTGAACTCAATAAACTCATAAAAAAATTGCACTTTCAATAGTACACGTCTTGTACTAGTACTGTCTGATTATTCTGCAGCTCCAAGATCTTTGTTGTAAATCCAAGCTTACTAGATGCGCGATTGAAATCTGCGCAATGCGTCACAGATGGGCACTTTTCAGACATCGAGGCTACAGGACGCATTATTATTTCAAGGCACTTTCATGGTGTTCTGTCATATGTGACATGTGTGACATTACTGTGTTATTTCCTGTTAGTAATAGAGGCTGCATTTATTTGCGCCGTGCTGCTGACATCTAGTGCATATTTAGTCATGGGTAAGTCCTTCAGACGTTTATGCAGTTTTTGTGGTCATAGTGTTGGAATTTTTCGCGGTGTTATTTCACCGCTGTTAAAGTATAAAAAATTTAAAGCCTAAGAACACATAATCTTATTCAATTTGCTGTAGATTTCCTCTAAGGATGAGCATAAACTTGGTGTTATACCATTTGTACTGGGTTGCAATTGGCATCGTGATTAATCCAACTTGGGGCTTGTGTATTTTATTAGTCATTGCCTTGTCCATTGTTGCCTTATTCGTTGCCATCCACAATACGTATAATATAGATCATTGTGAGAATCTTAATTTACATCAGCATCTTGGCATATGTTCAGCTGGCTTTCTTGTTCTCTGATTTGGTATTACTGGCCTAGTATTAGCTCGCAAGTCATTTTGTGGCCGACAAACTGCTGATGATCTTCTAAAAACTGCGTCATTGTCTGTTATTGATGTAGTGTCATGGCTGTACTTTAAATCCCGCAAACCTCCCTCTGACAGTGTAGAGAGGCTATGAAGGAAGCAACAGCCGTAGCTACGGCTTTGGTCGAGAAGGTAATCGTACTTCGGGCTGGTGTAACTAGAATGCATGGATTCTAAAATTGTTGCAACATATGTAGCTGTATCCGCTACAGTTGGTGCAGCTGTGGCGGCGGTTGAATCGGTGGCTATTGCTTTGGCAGTTAATTGCAATAATGGGGCTGTGCTTGGGGAAATACAACTGCTGGTCTTATTTCTGATGGAAGAGGGTAGGAAACATTTCCGCTGAACTTTAACATACAAGCTACAGTGCTTCTTATTTAAGAGCCGAAGCGTTGCTTCCAGCATTCCATGAAACATCGGG